ACGCAGACTCTAGTCTTGACTCTACCGGAAATGAACCCGGGGCTGCGTAGTGGAAAGCGAGCAAGCTTACTAAGAGCTAGCCATGAGCCAATACACAAGTAAGCTAATACTTTGGGTATTTGTAGAATATTACAATACAACATTGTATTGTAATCGTTGCATTAATATTTTTATTAACTTTTCATTATTTTACTTTCTCGCATGCTGCTTACGAAGAATATTGTAAAGCTAAAAAACTCATCTGATATGTTCGTGTATACACTGCAAACCTTACACAATGAGATCAATGCCAGGAATATATTTTCTTTTAGTGTTGAATCCAAAAAAATATTATGTAGTTGTCGACGTTTATAGTTGGGCGCTTTCGATTTCCGCAGCACGTGGTAGCAACTTCCCTTGCCCTGCTCTCCCTGAGCCGAAGTGCGAATCGAGTCACGGCCACCTTCACTACGAGTGCGTGTGGGAGGGAGGGCCGTGCGCGGGCGGCCGCGCGAGCACAGAGGAAAGACCGCGCCTCTCTGGTCGTCAGCGCAGAAAGGAAAGGCCCGGCACGAGTGACGGGTGAGGGTGTGGGCGGTGACGCCGTGTGGGGTGCAGTGGGCGAGGAGCGTGAGGTGACGGCGACCGAAGCATTTCTCCGCTCCGCCCACTATCATCTAACCATCTTTTTCAATACATTAATGCAGTCTGCATATTATATTACTTAGAGTATCTTCAATTTTAAGACAAGCAATGAAATTCCTAATCAGTACAGAAACAATCCATTAAATTTCATATTTTAATTATTTGAATAACATATTTAATTTTACAGGTACGTTTCAACGTAGGGCCTCCCGTTCGTTCAAAAAACCATCAGGGAATATCGATTTAGAAAGAAACCGTTGGGATGGTATAGACGCTGGGGTTGAACACAAATGCGCGGACATCAAGGCGGAAATCAAGAGATTGCAACCTCAAATGTTTGGCCAAGACAATTATTAAATTACTTTCGCAAACATTGAAAAGACATGTCTGGTCGACTAAGTTTTGTAGGTAATTGCTTGCGTAATAATTTTAAAGAGCACTTATTAAAGAAAATAAAGCTAAAGTTATTCACTATTCAAAGTGGTAATATTATGCAATAGTTACTTATGCACCAAGAGCGTTAACAGAGTTCTAATGATCTCGAGCATTTTGTCGCCAAATACTTTTAGAGCCAATTAATACCCATGGTAGATGATTTAACGTAATTGTAAATGATTCGTATTGATTTACTTACTAACTAGTTGTTAACTTGATTCGGTTTATCATTTCACATTTCCCTCCCACAATTCCCCCTCTAAGAAAACATGTAGCGCCATTTAACTGTTTCCTTATTTCCCTCGTAACCACCTTCCTCTCGATCCAGGGAAGTTATGCAGTCAACATCGAGCTGTCTCGAAGACAATATCAACCAATAACGTAGCAGTAAAAAAATATTATTATTATTATTATTATTATTATTATTATTATTATTATTATTATTATTATTATTTATATTATTATTATGTAAAAGATTCTAAACATATTACTGAATGATGTATTCGAACGTTGCAGTACAACAATGGCTTGAAAAGAGTTTTCTGTAGAGGAACAGGGAAAAATATTATTGAAAATATGAACGTTCAGTAAATTTATTAATTTATTATTCAATGGCTGAACTAGTAAATGTTAGAATTTCGCAACCTAAATTATGTATATCAGAATAGATTTTCAGAATAATGTATGTCCGTACGGGACAATTTGTCGACTTGCGTGAACTTACGTAATAAATATTATAACATAAGTACCAACCTCAGACTTCAGTCTGAAGCAACACTAATTATTAAGTGCTCTAATTATACTGAGAAAACAAATATATAAAATCAATCCAATAAACGCAGTGATCTACATCCAAATAAATCCGGGTAAAAATATTTCATGACATTGAAATGCATGTTTGGGCGGAGTCTTTTAGAATGTGACAAGAAAAGAACTGCTTAAATTCCAAAACATTATATTCTCTCAAAATCTTCAGGTAGCGAATGCTAGAGATTCTGCGTGCGATATAACCGAGAAAGGCCTGCGTGAAGTGTGCAGACTCTTCTGTGTTACCACCTCATTAAGGATTTCATTAAACTTTCTCCATAGTTGGACTTCTTGGCATCTTCTCGAACGTAGCACGTATAAATTAATGTGTACGATTCCTCTCTGGAACTTGTACTAATTAAAAATGTTCAGAATACTAAACTGATTAATCTAGAAAGAGACTCGTCTCTGCCCGACTTCAACAAACTACACACCCAAAGGAGCGACATCCAGAGTGAATGGGTCAAAATTATGCTCAAGCAGTACAGTAAAATGTCTCTATTAATAATTTGGAATGCGCGCAGAAATTGAAAAAAAGCTATGCAGCCTCTGATATATGAGAGGCGTCTATGGTTTTGTTAGATACACAAAACTCGGAAAAATTCAAAAAGAAAGAAAAAGATTCGATTTTGAATGGAAAATGCAAGTATTTGATTGCGTTATTCTGCCTTTTCTTATGCTGCGCTTAGGGTTTGAAATCATACAAGTTTATTCAGTGCATCACTGCGTATGATATATTCGAACCGCAACGGCAAGGCTCCAAGGAAGAGAACGTCCATTATGCAATATTTGCCAATCAGGTTTTTTGATCTCCTTGGTACGCAAATAACAATTATGGTAGTATATATACAATACATTTCACTCTGAATGGTATAATGAATTATGTGAAGACTGTTTTTGTTAAAATTATTAATTGGTTGCAGGGTCATAGGAGTATAGTTTATTGGATGTTTTTGAGAAGTATACAGGAAGTTACTTTTTCGAAAATCATTTTGCCTATTTCTCAAAAAGTATTTTTGATGCCGCAAGCCAGTAGTTAAAAACTATTTACAGTATTATTTTGCTAGACCACAGAAATATTGATTTTTCCAGATGAAATACAAACTTGTTTATAAATTGTTAAATCTATTTATCAAGAAATATACCCCGTTTCTATATTAATATTGAGCGAGTAATGAGATTCAATATATTTAAATTTTTCTTAGATTATATTTAATAGCACATCATATACGTGTTCTTAATAATATTCTTGCTATTATACGACAAAATTCAAATACACACAGGAAATCAAGTTTCAAATAATTAAATTTTGTTTATCTTATTCGCCATAACTGTAAATGTATAAAAGCTAAAATATGTTTTTTAAAAGTTCATTGAGTGGCACTTGATAAATAAGTAATGTGCGCGGATATTGCAAAGCGGCTGTTTTCCCTATAGGCGTCCCCAACTCCAAATCGTTAAAATGGGGAGATTTAGTACATGAACCACAAATTACCGGGAAGTTCCCTCCAAACCAAAAAAGTATTGGGGAGGGGACGTAACGCGCATGGTTTTGCTCTCTCCCGCGAGGAACCTGATCTCGATTAATTCTTGGTTGATTATTTCTGAGCAAAGCAACTGCTCCGATCAGCTTCACTCCGCTCCCGTTATGTCAGTGAATGGCCGTGCTCCTCGCCTGGAGATGGAGAGATCCGGAGCCAAGCTTCACGTCGGCTTGCGGGGGCTTCACTGAACAGGTTTTTCCTCCAGCAGGGCACCGCCCCAACCGGGAAATCTCCAAGCTCCTCCCAACATGTGTGTAAGTAAGGGGTGAGGATAGGAAAAGGAAGAAGAAAGAAGATGGTGCGCAGTTCGTGGCCCGTTGTTTGAAGACGCACACTTTATTGCCGGGGAAAACACGCGATCGGAAATCCGGCCACTAGAATTGCCCTCCAGGCAGTGGCTGAATGTGACCCGGCTGAACGGCGGAGTGCGACTCAGAGCGAAGTCGCTCGCTTTTCACCAAGGAGGTCCGGGTTCGCTTCCCAGACAAGCTCATGTGAAATTTGTTCCAACACACCGGGACTAGTCCAACCCCTGTGAAGTGTCCTCTTTCCTAGTTCATTCCCCATTCTGGCCGCTGGGGAGTGCGCCAGGGGTGCGTGAGGCACGTACGTGGAGATGCTAGCTGGCGGTCCTCTTGACGACTGACGAGAATCTTCCGCTCAGAGTCGTTGCAGAGACATCCACAGCGCTGCCTCTGAGCTAGCTCAGGCGAAGTGTTCCAGTTTGAGAAGCATCTGCGCCAAGCGAGGCCACCATGCATTCCTCTTCCCGCTCAAGTAGACTAAAAACAATCTCTTCCTCGCCGTAGTTCCGTACGCAGCCGCGTAGCGTAACGATGCATTGTGAGAGGGCCCCAAAGAAAAGCATATCCAGGAAGAGTGCATTCCTTTCTGCCCAACTCCGACACTTGCAGATCACAGTAGATGAGAGATGCGGCTCAGGCAACTGCTTTCGCATGGCATCGTTATGCCACACGGTGGGCCACGGCCACGATTTAAGAGGGCACAATTGCAAGAATAATTTTATTCACGCCTATCTACGTGATAGCATTCAATAATCTCCCAAGAACAAAGTAGCAAAATTCGTTTCATGATTTACCCGTGTTATAAGCACTTCTCAGGCGCTCAAATTCTCGCGTTGATGTATTGATGATTTTCTGTTAAATTTAAGAGGCAGCAAAAATGTGTAAAATTTCATGGTGTTAGGAAATGTCTAAATGTATGTTTATTTTATTATTATTAATTTCATAAAATGAAATAAGCTTCTAGTTAACAGTTTAACGATGTCTATATTCTTAAAATTTCAACTTTTTATTTACTAATATTAATAAAATGAAGTAACTGCCGTCCAAATTATACATCATGAGGATGCTTCCTTACAAATTTCATGCGCAGATACACGCCTGTATAGAAATAACCTTTTGAATATATTATGCAACAAGGTTTGTAGACTTGTAAGTGCTATAATTGTCCTGTATGTGCACATTCAATTTATTATTGATATTAATGGCACGTCGACATTTATTTTATGTACAATTGCCGTGTTCGTATTTTTAAAAAGCAGCATTATTGTATATATTTTTTGCAACTCTAAAACATCCGCGTCGTTTCCTGTGGGCGTTCCATCGCTTGAGAGCCCGTGCCGCGCGAGTGCTGCTTGGCGCCGCCCGCTGCCGCGAGAGCCCGTGCGCGGCGCGGATTTCTGATTCCGCGAGAGCACAGGACGCCTTTCCCCGGCGATCGCTCACAGCGCTCGCCCTCAGCGCTCGCCGCACCCACGCGGCCAAGCTGCGCAATTCAACAACTTCTTTGGAATAAGAGCCATCCCCATTTCCCCCTCTTTCCTAGTTTTACGTATCAGTGTATTCTAAAAACGCTTTCTACTAAACGTGTCGAATTCAAAGTTTACCTCTTGTAAAACTGTATCCGAAAATCGTTGAATCTGATATTAGACTACCCGGCCGAATGGAATGCTCTTTTTCCCCGTAAAATATATAATTTGTTTTCTAATACGTTATTGTTTACATCCTCAATACACGCTGCACACCGTTCCTGGATGGAGAGGATAGTGGTTACGAGGGAAAATTAAAACATTTGATTCACTGCACGTTTTCGTATAAAGGAAATTATGAGACGGAATTTTGGGAAGGAAATGTGAAAAGACAAGCGTAGTCAAGTTAACATTTAGATAATTAGTAAACAAGTTAATCTGAATCATAAGACACCATGTGCGTTAGCTTGTTCTAATGATCTCGGGCCAAAGCCCCTCGGCGTATTGTCGCCGTTCATTAGCACCCTTCTATCGACTTAGTGAATAAAGAACTATTATTGCGGATACGTCACTTACAAAGCTTAAATCATATAATACGGTCAACCGCTCAACACGCACACCGACTCCGAACAATATCTCCACTGGCCAATTCCTCCAACACGCTCAGTTAGGGGCCCAATGGTTCAAACGCACGAGGCATCCGATTAGCTCGAACCTGGTCACCTTATCAGCTGCCTGAGCAGTTTGCAAGGCTCTCCAGGGCACACCATCACTCTTTCTAACCGAACTGCGTACCGGAGTAATTCCAGCAGGTTTTTATTCACCCGGAACACTTAATGAATGATCGGAATTCTGCAGATTCCTAACAGTAGTCGTAAGAATAATAAATAAGGGCTTGGGCAGAAATAAGATGAGACACACCAGCATCTGTAAGCCTCTCGCTATTCGTAAAAAGCAATATCTCGATTTTGCTTAAGTGTGGCTTATACTCGGGTTACGTTGTTTTGTTCATATTTATTACGAGTTTGGGGCGGTAAGAAAATTAAACACACCCTTACGAAGTCGAGATATTAACGTTTACAAATAGCGAGATGTTTGCTCTGGTTGATGTCTTTTTACTTCTCCAAACTCTTCATAAATCGGATACCACAGGAAGTTCATGGCTTTCCGAGCATAAAAACATTTGCTAGCTCAAATAAATCATTTGCGCAATATATCACATTCACCCAAGAGTAACAACCATATCAGACCGGTTAATCTGCGCCAATTTTCTCCTCAGTAACAATTGCCTTTCCAAGTAGAAGCTGACGTGTAAACTCAAACTCTATTAGTCATTGCAGGATGTATGGAAAGATGCTAGCATTTTACGTCATTCGCTTCTTTCAATTTCGAATGGCCATAGTGTCTTGTTTTCTGTGATAACTCAAATCGAGCGCAATCATTTAATTCGGCGAGGTCCAATGTTCGATCCGACACCCCAAGTACAACGCGCCAGGGAAGCCTCCCGGACCCTGCCGAGTGGAGGGCTGCCGACATCTCCCCCCCCCCTTTGCACTGCGCTATTGTCGCATGCGCTTCGTAGCCCCCGCACCCCGCCTTCGCTGCTTCTGCGCCACCCACCGGACGGTGCGCCACCTGGTACTCGTGACACCTAAGTAATTTTCGTTGATAACACTAATCGGCATGGTGCCATTGAGGAGGAACCTTCCGGGCGCACTGTAGCTGGATGGAAGCACACCATTGCCTGGAAAAGACATTTAGAGCCGTAACTGGCTGTGCTTCTCCCAATCTGAATGGACGTCGGAGCAGTTGCTTAAAGAAAGGCCACGCGCCTCGCCTGGTTCTTCCTTCCCCGTTCTCTTCGCGTTCCGCTAATTACCGACGTGCCATGGACTGAATTCGAACCCTCATCTCTCATCATCTGGACTGATCCGCGAATGCTTTTGTGTCTTGCCTCAACTAATGGGGCTGTTTGGAGCATCAAAAGTTAGGAAGCAATTGGACAATTATATATCCGTTAAATTATTTATTTATTGTTAAATAGACATTAAAACTACTAGCTGGACCTCTGCGATTACATCGCACAAAAGAAAGAAATGTAGAAAAGTTGCAACAGACAAGTACCATATATGAAAATACTATACGGAAAATCGATAACCCTGCAAATAATGTTTCATGTCCTTCAGAACTTATTCTGTAAGGCTAATGAAAATGGTGAAAATTGAGGAATTCTGGAACAATGCAAACGGTATTCAATTTTAACATACAGTTAAACGCGTTTCTGAAAAAATATTTGAAATGTTTTATATTTACCAAAATGACATGCATGTAATAGTGGACTGTAGGTTCACAATAACCATTGTGAAATAGTGGTATATACCTAAATACAATAACCCATTAACCTTCACCAGCAGGTAAGCACCCAACCCAAAAAAGGGCTAGCTTAGCCGACATGGTCATGTAGGGTACCTCGATAGCATTCTTCAACTTGAAAAGAAAAAACGGAAACAGCTCTAAGAGCTAGGGTAGTGATGTCCGATCGAAAAGTATAAATTACAATTAATTGTTTTGAGTAGTAAAGAAAGAAACACTCAATGTCGCTACATTAATAAAATCTACTCCTTACTAAAATTAAATTTATAGTGCTTGATTTGTAAAATGTCAGGTCGCGGAACGCGTCTCAAATTACTTATAAGTTTAATAGAAATAATTATAAGTTTGTAGACTAATTTAATGATAATTCCAGAGGTACCGGAACGCCGTTCCATTGCGTTCCGCCAGAAATCTGAATTTACATTCTGTTGTTACTTTCTCGAATCCGTGTACACTCTAACAGCACAAAAGGATTTTATCACGCGTTTTTGAAATAATATAACTTAAGCCGCTTAATCTAACGCTGTTTCCTGAAACGTGGGCGAGCAAATACTACAGAAATGCAGTTTTCAAAAGTACCATCACCTCACGAGGATTTCCGCTGTAAAAATTAAGCAAAACCACTTTCCAAATGCACTGCACGACAAAGGACGTGCACTCCATTCCAGCGCGTTCTCACTTAATGAGTGCGTGTGTGGCCGCCACCGGCGCGGCTCCCGGTGTAATGAGGAACGACGCAGCGGTTGCATTTATTCTGGTAATTACGGGCGCCGCGAGGGCACCCACCTGACCCTCCTTCTGGAAACGTGTGGGAAGCGACGCGCGGTTTCTCGCGGGCGAGAAAGCCCCGCCGCTCTTTCTCCGGCGCCAGTTGCTCCTGTTACGCAACCAGCGGAGCGGGCCAGGCGCCGCCGCCAATTGCCATCCGAAGAGACGGAAAGAGGATCGCCCTTCCTGGCCACGCAAATTCCTGCCCAAACCTGCGTGCGATTGCATGTCGAGTCTACTTAGTTATGACCGCTATTAGGCCAAAACAGAGCAAATAATTCACGTGGTTGAAGTTTGCAAAGAGAGGAGTTACCCGTGATTTACAACTAAAAAATCAGCCGTGTGTCGCTATAGGTATTTACGCACAAGGGCGTTATGAGGGTTCTAATCTCGAGCGACAAAAGTCCCGGAGGCCAAAGGCTTAACTTTAATGATACATGAAATGTGATACACGATTTTATTTTTTCCATAATTTTAATTATTCATATTTACTAATTAACGAGTTGTTAACTTGACTCGGTTTGTCTTTTCATATGACTGTCCCATAATTCCTTTTCCCTTCTCTTACCTTCACAAGAGAACATGTAGCCTCATTCAACTGTTTACATATTTGACAATGGATGAAGAAAATGGATGGGAATGGGAAATTAATACTTTCTAAACAGGAACGTAACGCTCGCCCAAAACATTTTGGGTGATAAAAGGTCTATATGTATGAAAGAATTAGGAACATTTTTAGGAAAGGTTCGGACCATTAGGGAAACTGAAATTAGGGAGTGGGAAAACAGCACTGGTTAGCTTGACCGGAGCGTAGACTGGAGAGAAATAAATAAGTCAATAAGCTAACAATAAGTAAGTTAATCAGTAATATTATGTTAAGTTAGTAAACAGTTACGAAATAAGTCATAGTCGTAGTCAATTGGTAAGTAACAGGTTAATATAATAAATAAAATAAAACTGGCATAGTAATAAGCACATTAGGGGGTGAAGGGAAGGGGGGATCGAAAATATAAGGGCAGAGGCGTTGGTGCGGACGATCTTCTGTGGCGCCGTTTGATTTCAGGTGCTAAGGAGGCCAAACACTGGAAGGAGACGGCGGGACGCCCGCGCCAGAAAATAAATAGTTAAAATAGATGTCGAATAGATTAGTATGTACTCGGCTTCTGACGGCAGGTTTTCCTGAGCCGTACCTTATGGTCTCTTTTCCGCGGCTTTGATGCGATGGAGAGACCATTTGGGGTGAATACCAGAATTCGAAAGATTAGAACGCGAAAGGATGTAAGTATTGTAATAGCTTAAAGGCCTTCTGCCTAGCCCCATAGGATCAAGTAAGCTAATTGTTTTGTAATAATTACCTATTAAATAAATAAATAATATTTCTCTCCTAACCTCGATCCTGATAAGATATGAACACCGAACTCCATATCGAAGGCAATAATATATCAGTAAAAAAATCGTAAAATCGCCTTCTTATAAGAAAAGATGAAACATGAGGGTGTTGGAAAGAAATCAACAGCATCACTGATTTCATTTCCAAAATTATTCTGCTTTGTATAAAGCGATACCTTCTCAAACGGTACTAATATTATGCGACAGAAGAATAGAGCTGATACGCCGACATTTACCTTCCGTACTCGATGTACTTACACAGTTCATGGCACAAATCCGGTCAAAAGCAGCAAACAAGAGTTACTTTTGGAAGATGATTACTATACTTCTGTGTGTCAATGTTTTTGCATACACTGGAAATATTGGGGAAGCTTTATGAAAGACAACGAAACGAAACACCAGGAAAATGTAGCCATAAGCCATGCCTAAGGATTCGAAGCAGGTATTGAATGAACTTATATAGTATTCCACAAAATGTGCTCCAAAACTGTAGTCTTTTCAAGTCATTACAGTTTAAGATCTACAACTATTCATATTTATGCTTTATGCCTAGTAAGGTCAGAGAGGTAGAAAGTAAATACAATGAAAACCTGAATAAGAACTGCTATTTCAAACATGGCATTAATTTTATTTTAAAACTCCGACCTCTAACATATCTAAGTTCCTATCGGTGTAAAACAAACACATTTAAAATATTTCAAATAAATTTGACTTATTGCGAGATAGTAAGGGGAGTGCATTGCAAGGAAATACATTTTTGAGTCACATGTAAAACCAGTATAATTTAAAATTAAATGTTTATAACATTTTGATATTCTTATCGATATTTCTACAACAATATTATTTCTATATTAAAATTTACTTTTCAACATAAACTTTTGCCCATTTACATGCGGATTCCGTTCAACACGTTTCATTAACTTTGATATGTAATAAGTAATGACGATAATTGTTTAAAACATATTTCAGTTGTGGCATAATATTTCTATTATACCCTAAAGTATTGCTTTAACAATGTTTTAGTGACGTATACAAATATTTAAAGAAGTAACGTTGAAGGCTGGGCGTCGGCTCCGCTGGGCGTTCTAGGGGGCTTTGGGAAGCCGGGCTTCCTAGTGTAAGTTGTATTCAATATTTACAGTACTTTCTCTTTCGATTAGCAACGGGGCAAATAGAACGCCCGGATAATCTGACTTCGGTGTTTCAAGGTCGAGTGGGATGGAGGAGTCCTGCGAATGACAGTCCCTTGCATCCCAGGGAGCAAGTTCCCAGATGCCCCCTAGATGCTCAGATGTATCTGATAGACCGCATTTTCTTGGAAGCTGATGACCATTGACACTGTTTATCGTGTGCTTTCTGATCGAAATACAACGCATTTCGTCGCCAATGTGGGGTATAATTTGAGTTATCACATCATCTTAGCTATGGTTAAAATAGACATGACTTCACTAAAAAACCGAATATTCATAATACATTTTTAAATATTTTGAAGTACTTTAAGTCTTAGTACAACAGTTTAATACATTACAGTTATGAAGACATATTGACCTTTATTTGACATAAAAATGTAATATGTTTTTTTAATAAATACTAACACTGATGAAAAAAAACATATTTTTTCATATACAGAAAATGGATAATTATTTTTCGTTAAATGAATGCAAATGTATACTATTAGTTAAATCAATTTATTAACTAATGAAATCAACATTTAAGCGCCGGACTCGGTAGCCCTATCCACTGATAATGCACTGAACATTTACCTCGATATTACCAAGATTAATAAATTCGAAATATGGAACCTTCGCCCAAAAAATAAAATAAAGAATAAAATCAGATCAAATTTAAATACGGAATAGAAAAGAGTCTTTGACTTTCTGTAAGTCATCATCTTGTACAAATTCAAGATGTTTCAACCACTAAGCTTCGTCATTCACAGCGCAGGAGTTGCATAAATTTTCTTGCACGATAGTTCGTGCAAACACTTCTACGTTCACTACCTGATATGTAATTGCGACTTCCGGTTGTACGAGAAAGGTTGGTAGTTTACGTAACAAAATAAACCAATTTTAAAATATACAATGAGAATTCAATAATTTTAAGCGGTCAAGTAAAGTGACTGGCTCTACTTCATAATAATTAAACACTGATTACATTTCAAGTGCGTGGCAATTAATACATCAAAATATGAAACAAATATACATTTTTACTAACTCACCGTTGACGTATTCAGAAGAAAGCAGTCCGCCATTTTGTAAGATGTCAACGTTGAATTTGAATTTCTCATTTCCTCCAACAAGAAGATCACTTTCACTTTCAGTATATTCACCACGATAGACAGCATACCTGTGGACACGACAGAACCATTATAATAGTGTACTACTAAACAATACTAACGTGGATCATTTTAACAGCATAATCAAACAAAAATAAATTTAACAACCATATGTACATTTCACGAACAGAACGCACACTTCGTCTTTTGCTCGAAATCCATAGCGCAATATTGCGCTAATTTTCTGTTTGTAGACCAATAAAGTACCAACTATGAACGTAGTAGTAGCAGAACACTTGAATTGTGAACATGGCAAAACTTCATAAAGTACGTTACATAAGTGCAGTTCTTTTCACATCGAATATGACAACTTTCAACACGAAATGCGTGAGTCCAGAAAACATCAAGAAAATATCATGCCACTTGCAAACGTAATGAATATTGTGTTCATACTTCAATAAACACTTGATTAACGGGGAAATCAAACCACTTCCTCATGACACTGTGCACAAATTATTAACAAACCAGAACAAGCTGACCCTAGTTTCATACTAACCAGAAATTCTTCCGAACCTTCCGAACTTCCTTGCCAATGACCCGCGAACCGGCGGCGGCGGCGCACGATCGGCCGGCATTTGTTTGGGAGGAACGGTTGCGACAAGGCGCAGGGGACTGTAGACTATGGCTGCGCCGGCGCCTGCGACCCACAAGGACCAAAGTCGCGCGGCTTCTTGACGGCGGGGCAGCGCCCTTGAAGTGACAACGGGGCCTCCGTTCCCCACCTGCGGCGCGCGAGTCGACGACAGTTGAGGGTTCATTGGGAGAGAATGTCGAGACGTCAATATAACCATTATTAATAACATTACACCGATAAGCGGCAAATAATTAGCCTGGCACCTCGGCGCTACTAACAAACTTCATATTAAAAGGAAATTTAAAAAAACAAAACATTTGTGTTGCCTGGCTGGTCTATCATTAGAAACAACGAATTACTTAAAAAGCATTGTCGGTCGAACTTTCATACATATTGATGTGTCATTGCATTAGTAGGTTTAATTATTGGCAATATAATGAAAAACTGTCGTCAACGGCAGAATAGTAATCACCATTATTTAATCACTTTAGGTGCCTTAAAAAAAATAAATACGCTGATTTCTTCACAATTCTTCCGGAATATTTTAGGAAGATCGGGCTAAAAATAGAACCAATGGATTCGTCTTGTCGAAAGCTATCGAATGTGATCATCTCCCTAGTTGCGTTTAACACTATTCTTTAATAATAGATTATTAATTTATTAAATTCGCTAATTATAATTTTGTCTTTATTTTATTTCAATTTTCCAATTTCAACTTCTTTTAACCTGACAAATTGGAGTATTGCAATGCGAAAAGCCAACCATATAAATGATTCAACATAAAATCAATTGAATTTATCAATTGTATCATTGTAGTTACTGTTTTATTCTCCTTGTAATATGTTTTATTTATTTTATAAAAAAATATATCATCTGAAAGTGATGTCCATTTAATTGGAAAAAGGTGTCCAAAAATGTCCTTGAGCCCTCCTCTTCTTTTAGGGTATGCACGCCTACGTAGGTTATTATAAAGACGAAAAGTACAAGACACAGCGTTGTTGGGAACAGCTCATATTATGCGCGAAGTATTGAAGAGGCTACCCACTTACGAGATCTGCTTTTTAGGAAGCTGGTGGCAACCTGTAGCAGATTTGATATTTAAGTGAGAGTTAGGATATTTAATCGTGATATGGTGGAACGACGATAACGTCGAAAATGCACAATAATAATTTTAAAAGGCTGCCCATTGGCGAACAACCTAAAAATGATATCAAAATATCTTAAATTAGCAGCAGACACTCAAAATATGTGGCAATTAAGTAAAGTTGAAATAGTTCTACCCTTAAAATAGCATCTAAAAATAGAATAACCAAAAGCAATCAGTCTAACTTCTCCGAAAGTCGGAATGTTACAGACTGGCTATATTGTGTAAAAATGATCAAAAATAATTTTCTTATCCCTCTCATCTTAGAACTGTCAATACCTGCGTTTGCCCGAACCCTAGTCTATGACTAGTTCCTAGTCCAGTACTCTGGAAAAGTCTCTCGTCAGTGAGCACAATGAACCAAAGAAGTTGGTAGCAACCTGATCTCTGGTAAGCAAGTGATGGGGACAACACTTACAGCATCTATTATTATTGTGGGTAGGTCGCAATATACGTTTTCTTTTGTTGCAAGCTAGAGCTCGTGCTACAAACTTAATTTTTGACGCATGCAGTCTCACCAGAAACCTCATCACCGGAGAGGTTTCCCTGGCACGCTATACTTACGTAGAAGTGTAATAGTTAATAAAGTGATTCGGCAGAAATAACTAAGCTCTTTATTATACTTTCTTAACAGCCCGTTTTTGATAAAAAATCATATCAATAAGAAATACCTTAATATAACACAATCCTTGAATATAAATAAGAAAGTAAGAGTACTTATGCGCCATCTCTACTCTCCATTTAGTTCTTTTCAGTAGTTCTGAACGGACGCTGATCTGATGTATCCTTATCGGATGCTGGCGCTACAGACTGACTTATTGTTCCTCTGGCTGCGTTAAGTCGATATTTTGACAGTGCGGTTCGACAAAATAATACTAATACTAATAGCAATGATAGCGAGGCGGAGGAGGCGGGGAGGGGCGGTGGGGGCGCGCAGGCGGAAGCGCCGTGGGCGGTGGGGGCGGCGGGGGCGTGGGAGAGAGCGAAAGGCGGGAGGGGCCGCGCTATAAAGGCGCGAGAGGCGCCGCCACCGCCACTCGCAGCCCCAGCCTCAGCCTCAGCCTCAGCAGCAGCCGCTCCCCGCTCGCCATGGCCCCCCGCGTCTCTCAGGTGAGCCTCGCCCACGGGGCCAGCTTCTTCATGCGCGATTTACGCGCATGCATCCTTTTCGCCAACTATTTTCTAGTTTTATCCGCATGCATGCTTGCCCTTCTGGGCTCCCTAAAGGACGGATTATTGTTTTTTAGCGGACGGTTCACTGTTAAAATCCCTAAGACCCTATTTATAAGCTTTTAACCAATCATTCTGGAGTTTTAGCTCGCATCCGTAGTGATGCTTATGGAGTTCCTGAAGTTTTGAGATCCTCAAAAAAGAAACGTTAGGAGTGATTTCTCGTACCTCTGTATGGTTTGTCTTTAAGTCGTTAATAACAGAACGGTATTAACAAAAGGAATACTCGCGCAATATGGCAAGTGTGTAGCATAAAACCGTTGGATGGTTGTGCTGATTCCTTTTGGCAGAGTCACAACTGCATGAAATTTTTGGCGTTTAATGCTTTGTTAATTGAACAGCCCATTTCCAAAGTGACGTGTCTACACGAAACACACTTCTTTCAGGAATTCAAAGATTTTACATTCAGCCTTATAGTTGAGGATAGGATTCAGCGTTTTTCGGATACCATTTAACACAGAATGAACATTTTACCACAATATGTTGCAGCATGACGGAGGAACGCCTTAATAATATATTGATACGTAACCTAGAAAACAAAAAGAAATCGCGGTCGTCATTTTGGAAGTGGAATCTTCCATTTTGCATCGCCCGCACTCAATCACGCATTTAGTGTCAATCACGGGGGCCGAAGGTGGAGCCTCTTCGTAGTTTGCAACGTTGCGAGCGGAGAAAGGGAATTGTCCACAATAATGATTTACGAAATACCAATTGTCAACATCTTATTACTACTTAAGCTTGTAAAATCATTAAACGAGGTTGTTGGGTATTATACGATTACCAGCAGAGTATTCAAATACGTTTTATGATACGTACAACGTTCTATCCAATTTTCAAACATGTCAGTGTACAAAACTTTTTCTTGAATTCCACCTTTGATCCTGCGAAAAGTGACAGTCTGATGTTGATAGTAGTTATTACGAGGCTATGAATTATTTGAACAATTATGTTCTAATATTCTTTATTACAAAACTGATCTCAGTTCCTTGAATTTGAATATAGACAATCAAAATGGATAAAAGTGTTTAGGTTTAGATGCTGGCCTCTTCCCTACAGCAAACGCCACTTGGCACAGGCGGGAACGTTCACGGGAAGGGAAGATCGCGTGCGGTCGTTTGTGGTGGAAGGGGCATTCGCCTAGAGGATTAAAGCACTTAATCTCCATAGGAGCTAGAGACCCGATGATCTTCAACTCGTCAAGCCACTGGCAACATTCAGCATCGAACCCGCAGCCTCCCAGTCACCCGCACTCGGTCGTCGGGCGAAGCCTCGCCCTGTCGCTCGTCTTTATTTCACTATCATTGTCAATTTCGTGGCCAATACACTACGTTTCGATTGGAGGTCTTGATTGCGATATTGTTGCTAATTTAATAACAAAATTTGTTTACTGTGTTTGTAGAATTATTGTCGAGGAATGATCAAATGAAGTGAACTGCGTGATTGACATCAGCTGCAAACCACCTACCGCGTCGCTTAATGGTAGACTTCACGCCACTGTGGCTTCTGTGGTTGGTTTTTACCAAGGAAAATCTAGCACGTCTCCAGTGAATTGCATCCTTAGTTTAATCCTAGCGCTTTGAGGGGATGTGGCTGATCTTTGTCCCCGATTTGCGAACTTCTCCCTTGCTCACCCCCGCCCCGCGCTGTATTGTTATACATTTTCAAGTCTACCACATAGTTGCCCAAAGCTACCTTTTCTCCCGCCGCCATAGACCGATCTATCAACGCTATCCGTCATTTTATTCGTCACGTGGGCCGTTCCCCGGCTGAACGAAAATGGAATCTGATTGAGACGAGTTTTTGTTATTTAATTTTTAAAAGTTTGTAGGATATTTATGTGATGTCTAATAAAAATATAGAGAGGATAAAGATTTCAAGTCTCAGGAATGGAGTATCTTAGTACTTAACTTAAAATGTTAAAGAAACATGGTTTTTGCACGTTCAAATAGAAGACTTCAGTAGAATGTATAAAAAATCATTTCAGTAACTTTTGTGACAGACACTGCAAGTAGTTTTGGGTTAATGGGCTGTCCAAGTTGAAGTGAAGAGAGTAATTTCTTAAAAATCAAGGTGATTTTGTTTCTGTTCTTCGGATTTTATTTTGGATTGCGTGTATGGGTTCGCATGATGGGCGGGAGCGGTATTGTACCAGCCTGGCAAGCCTATGAGATGTGGAAGGGTCCAGGGTAGGAGGTTCTAAACTTCAAATTTGTAATTTTTGTCAGGCAAAGAAAAATCGAAGTCGTTATAAATTTTGACGTGTCTTTGTTCCTGAATTTACTGTATGCTGCCTTCTACACACATACTAAGTCCTATGCTCACATTTGTATGGCATTTCAAACACAATATGCATTTACCTGATATTTGATTTTATTTTTATGCAATTAGTGTGAGTACTATTTTCTCCCGACTTCTTCGTATGATGGTTAAAGCGCCCGCTCAAGACAGCTCCCACCCTTCTGTCTACGGCATTCCGGCGCACTTGTGCTTTCCATTGCTGCGGCCTAACCTCTCATTACGTGGTTTTTCTTGCTTGTCTTCTTTCACTCGGCACTTTCTCACGTCTACTTAGTTGGTTGGTCGTCAGTGATTTCCGGCGCGTCAACTAATGAGGTCGTTAGTTCCGTAAGTGGAGTGCATGTTTTTGCTCGGGATGTAGCGTTGATCTTCTCCGCTTGATGGCGAGATCCAGCGCCAACCTCCCGCCCGGTAGCGGGATTTTCCCAACCACGTATCTCCCACCAGTGGGCACCGCCCCAGCCGGGCTGTAAGAAGTGTAGTGCATGTTAGTGTAAGTGTACGCGTGTAAGTAGGGGTGAGGAAGGAACGATCGCGCGCGCTGCTTGGCTCGTGTGGTAGGGAACTGCTCTGGCATTCGCCTGGTGTTGATTGCAAAATCCACGTCTACTTAGATTCGATTATCCCCCTCATGGCTCTTCACTCACAACTGTTCTCTTTCTCCGTCGCCTTTCCTTCAAATCCTCTGAAATATTTTGTTCTGAACCTCAGTTCTTCCGCTGTACTGTCTTCCTGTCTCTGATAAACGCAGGTTTGGTTTGCGCCAATGTTTTGGGCCTTTTACCCTCCCTCTTCTTATTTCTTATCGACACTTTAAAGCCTTTTATTATCCGTAATCGCTCGTGTTTCACCTTCGTTTTGTGTTTTCACTTTCCCTACTGTTACAGTCGCTCGTTTCGAATAGAAATTGAATATCGCCATCCTCTCTTGTAGATCAAAGATTCCTTCTACACTGTTGTTGTCATTAAAGCGATAAGGCCGAAAACAGTCAATACAAACTCGTTTGGTAATTTGTGTTGTAGATCGCTAAAAGTGAGTCGAATCTCGAATACTCAAATAAATCTGTGAATGCAACAAATAAATCAAACTATTTTCGGCTAATCGTATGGTCTTACTACTAATCTTAATGTACCATAGTGATTTGTATACTTGAATTGAAATTCAGTAAGGCCGTAGAAAAAATAGTGTATGACACACGAGGTAAAATTATTTTATTTTGCTCGTAGGCTTATGCCATTCGCCCTCGAGTCGCAACATTTCCTATTCACAAAATAAAATGCCACTTTCAGCACTCGTACCATTAATAACTATTTTCGATTTTTTAACCGTCAACGGATTGTTGAATCCTTATCGGGGCCGGTCATTAAGAGTGGCTGTCAGTCTTTCTGCCTCAGAGTAATGTAGTTTATTCAATACAATGCTGCAGTTGTATATTGATACCACAGTATTATCGATTCAATAGTTTCGATGCAAATATGGTGTGTGGCATGTGCACAGTTTGGCAAGTTTCCAAACGCGTTCCCAGCTGTGTGCAGGTGAACCGTTCGCTGTTTCGTGTAAATGGTGGAGAGGTGAAAGACTTTCAAATGTGTAAGAGCAATGACACATTTCGACCTATCTGTTGGATATGTTGATGATCTTCAAAATTCTCTCATCACTTCTTGTGGCCACAGATTTCTACCTCTTCGACTGAGAGCTGTGCAGAAGACGCAGAAAGGTGTTAACTGGACGTCGTGGTTCGGTGGACACAACGGAACCGAGAAATTTCGCGTTATTTTGCAGGAGGAGATTGTTAGTGCAGTCTTCAAGAACCGTGAAATTGTAGATAATCCCGTTTGAATCTTTGGGATGATTGCAGATTTTGCAGCGGAAGAATTGCATGTGCGAGAAACATCACTAGAAGTCCTATAAAAATCAGAAAAAAAAACAAGGAAACTGTGATAGGAAACAACCTTTTCTCCACTCCAATCTGATGTAATACTATTAGCGAAAGCATTACTAAATGATTAATAATTTTAATGTTTCTCTTTATGTTCTTGCATTTTAATTAAACTGCAAATGTAGTGACTACTGTATTTTCGTCATTCATTAATTCATTACTAAATACTGAGTCACCAGTGGGTAAACGATTAAAATACGTACTACTCTTAAGAACAGGTGAAGTTAATTTGCATTGTATTTATAACGTGATGAAGATACTTGTCTCTTTCTATTTTTTTAAATTCAACTTAGTGTTCAGTGGCAGTATAGTTAGTATATAGTGAATAGTTAGTATCCCACTCCGGTGTTGATCTGTTACTTTCAGCACGTCTTCATCTATCGCCTCTCGGTGATTTGTGATTTACCTTCCCTTACCCCGCCCCTTCCCGCTCCGTGAATCGCAAATTTATCTTCTATGACGAAGAGCGCTGACTGCAGATCTATGTTTTCGATCTCTTTGATCTACGCTATTGCTTTCCCATGATTGCGCATTTGTTGTTATTTGCCTTTTCATTCCATTTCTTCGCCTGCTTTCAGAACGCTCAAAATCTTTTTGTTGTGAACTTTCTTTCCGCGTGTCTTGAGTGCTAATGGTGGATCTGATTCATTTGTTGGCATGAATCTGTGTTATTGCGACGTTTCGCGTGGCTGTTCGGGTCGTTGCCACCGCCCTCCGCTCAGCGCCTCTCGCTGAATGGAACAGCTCCGCTCCCGCGGAGGCAGCCTGGCGACCGGCGCGCGACCCCGTGTGACGTCAGCCACACTGCCGCTGCTCTTTCATTGCGGCGAACGAGTGCAGGCCGAGACTCGCTTTTCCACTTTCTCCTCCTTATTTTCTTCTTTGCAATAACTGCCCTTCTCTTCTTAGTCATCCCCGGTGATTTGAATACGGAAAGTACCGTCATTTGCAATCGAAAGCAGATTTTACATTGACGTGCTGCGTAATAAAATGAAATATATGGTAAAGTGAATGCTATATAACATCCGTAATAGAAAACTTTTACGTACGAGTAATAACATTATTTATTAATTGATAATAAAATAACTTGTCAAATGTGTGAGATTTTGCAATTTTTAAGAACAAGAAATTGTTGAATTATAATGTAGTTAGAACAGATTAGAACACGTCAACTATCATTTCACTTTTCCCAGTAATCAATAATTACAACTTTTGAAAAAACATTGCGGCATTTCAATAAATATATCTAAATGTATGCCTATTATCATCTCCCACCACAATAAGGACAATTTTATTACTATTTTCTTTATTGTCAAAATGTTGCGATCACACAGATATACCAAGATACAAAATCAAAGTATGGCATCGTAGCGTAGTTGAAATCTAAAATGAGGTATACTAACATATTAACATAAAGTAACAATACAGTTTCTACAAATAATAATAATAATAATAATAATAATAATAATAATAATAATAATAATAATAATAATAATAATGTTGATTTCGAAAGTTAATTAAAAGTTTTAACATCCCTCATGTCGCCCCAAGAACTTCCTGATTAGTGAGCACGTACTGACCTACTTCCGGAGGCCGATGATAATACTCTTCTACAAGCCTAGTTCTTCAATGATCTCCTGAGTTTGCGGAATGGCGCCAGTTGCCGAGAGTACAGTGGTGACGGTATTTAGCGCACCCTACAGGTTTCGCTATTTTCACTCAAACGTTATCTCTCTGTCTTTGTTGATTTTTTTCCTGATACGTTGCCATGTTGCTGGTATTCACTACTATAAAATCAATAAACCAATATTTCTCGATGTATTATTCCAGAGGGTAACATCTGGTCTGTTGTGTTGCATAGTGCATGGTCCTGTCGGTCAGAATACTGCGGTTTCAATATAATTTAGGGCTTCACTTCGAAGCATAGCTTCGGGATAATAATAATAGTATGGTTTATCAGCTTCCCCATATTTATTAGAAAGTTTGGCGTAGATGATTCGGCCCAACTAATAGCGACTGTAAGTATAGTCTGTGGGAGATACAGAACTACATGCTGAGATAATACGCTGAATGGTTTCATGATTTCGACCACAATACGAGAATCATCAGGAAGTACTTCAGCGTCTTTGGTGTCAATTAGGGAAGTTATTTGTGGGAATCATCCAGTCTTGATGTTATGAATCCTTCGCTATTAGGGTACAAATATCTTACACTAATATCTTACAATACCATCTTACACTAAGCCATTTGTAACACGTGAATTCGTCGATATTTAAACGGCGTCGACATTTACTTTCATTAATATTATTCAATAAATCACGAAAAAAAGTATTAACGCGTACGGTAATTCACATGGTTTCGGCCTTTAGTTCCGCCATTAACCTCCATTTTATTACAAGCTCACTTGTTGGAAAAACACATTTTTGCAAGTCAGCAGCCCGTGTAAACGTTCTGCTATTTGATGTAAGTTTGCTTGAACGTAAACCACTTACCGCATAACATCTGGGCGAAGCTGTTGTGGTCCCATCGGACACCGTGAACCCATTAGCTGTGGCGACTACCTCCTCCCCCGACAAACCTCACGCGTTAAATATCCTGTGTGGCATTCAGAAACGAAAATTACAAAGAGTATTCCTCTCGTGAAATTAACAACAAGAGTTTTATCAAACATCTCTGGTATGTCCGAATCGTATTAGTGTATCTAAAAGTATTGCTTTTTCTTGGCTTCATTCATGTGCTGTGGAGACTGTCCAATCATTAGCTGTGACACGTGCGTCATACGAAGCGATGAACACTGAAAGCGCGAACTTCATTCATGGAATTAATATTTGGTGCATTTTTAAATTCTTAATTATTATAATTATTCAAAAATAAAATAAATAGTCGGTCCATTCTTTTTAGATATAATTTTAGTAGAGGGAGTCTTATTAAATACCACTGGGAGAGGTGGCTTAGAGTATCAACTCATGCCACTGTAGTGCATCTAACCGGCAGGTCCTAGGTTTGAGTCCGGACGGTGGCAACATTTTCGTCACGATCTTGTCACCTAGGTCGAATACAGTCGCTGTCTGGAGGAGAATTTTAGCGGCTGGTTTCTCTGATCGGTAATTGTCTGTGGTTTCTCAGATCAGTGTTAGGCGAATGCCGGAGTAGTACTCTGACTAACGGGTCACGGACCGCGCAATCTTTCCTTCCCCTTTCTTGACTTATCCTCTTCCCTTACTTACACACACACACACACACACACACACACTAACACGCAGCACACTACCACACACGCCAGGAGCTTAGAACGTGTCCCGCCTGGGACGGAGCCTCGCCGCCGGAAGACGGGTTGGTTGGCGCCGGACCTCGCCCCCCAGCGAGGGAACATCACCGCCACCTCCCGAGCAAAAGATGCAGTTACGGGGCGAGTGACCTTAGATGTTGACGCGCCCGCAAGCACTAAACTGTGGAAAAGTCGCAAGGCGACATGGAGGTCGGCGCCGGATCTCTTTCTGGCGCTGGAGGAATATAACACGCACTCGGCGTACGGGACTAATGGCAAGAGTCGGCGGCGCCTGCCGTGCGAAGTGCCGCGCTCCGCTGCCGCCGCGTGACGGGAGCGCCAGTAGCGGCGGCGGCGGAGGCGGCGGCGCAGGGACGGGCGCTCGCTTTCTTTGGCGCCGGCGCTTTCGCCCGCGCGCTTCCGCGGGCGATGCGAGCGACGCAAAAAGCTGCGCTTGCGCCACAGGCGCGCCCTCTGCCGCCGCCCGGGGGACTCGCTTCCGGTCGCCGCCAAGTAGTCATTACAGCGATTAGACCGGCAGCGAGCCGGTCTACTTTCGTGAAGACCCAAGACATCGACAAGCCACTTTTCACAATGCCATCAAACAAATACCTTTAGCATAATAGCATTTACTTTCAAGAAAAATAATAGAAATACCTTTTCTTGGAGAAGCTGTTCTCGTGCGCTATCTTTAGCTACAACTCACTTGTTTTGATTGGCCTTAACAGACGGCGGATTGTTAACAACCTTATTGCACGCTGCGCGTTAAGAGTGGCTTATCGTCCTTGTGTTTAGCAGCATTAAGTCATTATTAAAGGTACAGATTGACGAAAACAACTTTAAAAGATGTCGCTGGAGTGGAGAGGCAATCGAACGCAAATGAGGTACAATTTCCATTGCTAATTCAAAATTCAATAGATGTGCTAAAAATATGCGTAGGCCCGTAATATCGGCCTCATTTTAAAAAACAGGATAAACGTTTGTGCCAGAAATTTCGCACCGAAATGTAACACTTAAACTCCATTTTCTGGATGATAATTCTATCTTTTCTTTTTTCTCGAAAAATCTGAATCTGACATTCTTCGTGAAAGTCAACGTACAATTTGGAGTAGTTTTTACAACGTGAGCTTCTGGACATTTGTATATTAGACCTAGGAGATCATTTATTTCGGTGTTTTTTACACAATAAATGTGTTTTCTAACATGTTTACATTAACATCTTGAACAACAACATAATTTTTGCTTGCAATGTAGTTTGAAATCATATCACAATTGTTAATACATAATAAATGTTAGTAAATTTGATTCAACTTAATTTTTCCTATTTTATTATTCATTACAGTATTTAACTGAATGTAAACAATGACTTTATAGTTCTGTACGGTTAAGTTAAATGTGACAAAGTAAAATGTGTTGTGTAAGAGTTGTCACAGGATTGAATAACATGTACTGCAAGAAAGACTGATACAATGAAATTAACATTTTTGCAAGTCATCTGTTACGAGTAAAAGTAACCTAAATTAAAGAAAATGTATCAGTGAGTGTAAGCTGAGTTTTTATTGGGGAAAGTGACTGCAACTAATGGAATGCCTCTCACTTTCAACACAGTAGCAAGAACTCTCATGGCCTCCACCCTGAACAATCGAACTTCTCGTACTTAACCTCCAATGACTGGTCGGGATCTTAGATATGCCCCATTGGTGGGAGATACCTCGTTGGGGAGACCTCCGCTCGCCGACGGTAGGTCAGCTCCGGATCTCTCCATCCAGCGGAGGAAAATCACCAGCAACTAACTACTTAAGACCGCACTTATAGGACTAATGACCTTTGCAATTGACGCGCGTGGAATCACTTATCAATCACTGAACAGATGTGCGGAGTTATGCGAAGGGGTAAGTAAGGCGCGGTCTGTGTTGCAGGCTGTGTTGGTGCTGGCGCTGGTGATGGCAGCGCTGCTGGTGATGGCGGCGGCAGCGCCCGGAGGCGGCGGCGGCGGCGGACAGTAAGTGGCTCCTGCCCCCCCCCCTTTCCTCCTCACTGCTGGGCGCGGGTTCGACCCTCGGCCAAATCGAAAAAGGGGGCTCGCGGAAGAGATCTCTAGATTTCCCTACTCTCGTTCTACCATCACATCGTCATTATCATATCTAGCATTACTCATTAGATTACTCGTAGTCCTTAATGATATAAACGGCTTAATTCTCCCTAAACACTTATTAATATATAAGTTAATTAATTAATTAATACAAATTCGCTGTTAGTAAAAAAGCCATAGTTAACAAAAAATTGTGGCGATGTGTAACGCCACTCGTCAAGGTCAATGCTGAGTAACACTTTTACATATTTGCCCTAATAAATATGTATGGCTTATTTAGATGAAAGTCATAGTTTTTGTTCTTAAGGGTCTTTTGGTATTCTCGAAATCGTAATATTAACTTTCACACAACTTCTCCACTACAAAAAAATGAGGTGAATGAATTTCTAAATATATATGTTTGTAATCTAATATCCAAAACGTGAAAAAAATAGTATTCAGTTACAAGTTTTAATGTTCTACCTTCGACTTGCTACCACGTGTTAATAATGTTTTCTCTACCGGCGCAATCATGGAACTAGTACATGGAATATTGGTTGGGATATTTTCGGTCTCTTGTTTATTACATTTAGAATGCCAAAAGGTACGAACACAGATATCCAGGCCGATTAAACGATAACCTGTAATAACTTGAAATTCAAAAATTATTTTTTAATGTTATTGCAAAGAAATCAAGACTGTTTAGGTACTTATATTTAAGTGCATTAGAAAAGCGCACCTTGAACTACAATTGAGAATATTTCCACCCGTAACAATATTTTTATTAAAAGTAATAAGTGCTGTTTGACTGACACTCGAAGGGCGTTTGACCATGGTGAAGTGCATGGGACTCCGTCCATTTGCCGCAATGTAGTGGGAACAGCGCGAAACTCGGAAAGTGAAAATTGGGTGAAAATTACATCCCTCCTAAAAAACAACCTCTGAAACATCCGAAGCAGCCGCCGATCAAACGTTTAAGAAATCCTCATCCAGGTTACCAGGGCCTGCAGGGGATGCGCTCTTCAGTTTTATAAATTCTACAGATATCTCAGAATATCGCTAATTTGCTCAGACAATTAACTCTGTGAGAACGTGCTCCATTAAAATCGTTCTAGCAGATGCTCCTGTCCGTCAGTTAGAGATCGTTTCTTCAACCTTTCTCGCCTGACGTTAGCAACTTGCAAGAACTAATTACCTCTAATCACCTACATTAGCATAGAAGAAATTTTCAAGCTGGCGTGTCACTGTATACTTACGTTTTTTGCTGTGAATAAGCTTCTAAAATATTGAGTATAATTGGATCCCTATTATTAATATAACTGATAAATGCAAATTATTTCTAAGAAAATTCGTTTCAAAAGGGACAATGCCGACTTACTTTTAAAAATGTTTATGTTATGTCAAACAATTACAAGCTTACTCACTTGTAGTACAAAGCGTTGACTTTGCTGTGCTGACGAGCGCCCGTCTTGTGTTCGCAGCAAGAAGGTGATCATCCACGTGCCGTACCACATCAAGAAGATCCACCACACGCACACGGTGTACAAGATCATCAAGGACAACGGCCACGGCGGACACGACACCTTCGAGAGCTGGGGCGGCGACACCAGCCACGGCTGGCACTGAACCCAGGCCCCCTCGCCCCGCCGCGCGACAGAGCCCCGCAGACGAGACGGCGACGCAGCGCCCGGCAGGCCACGCCCCCCCCCACGCACCATCCTTCCGCTGCTTCAGAAGCACCAGGTCAACTCCCTCGTATCGCAAATTCAGTTTGCTTTCAATACCCCAGGACTCACGGCTAAGAGCAAGTGTTAATCTCTGAGTCACATACAATCATCTTTTTTTAGCAATCAGATAGTCACTGTCACTGTTAATGTCACTGTATAATCAATAGACCCGTTGTTTGGCAGTCAACAGACAATGCGACTACCTTTAACTTATTAAAATTCAATTATAAAAAAATTAACGATATTTATAATTTCATCTAGGGAATAATTAACCGCGGATCGAAAAAAAATGAAGTAATAGCACACATCATTGACCCACGTATTGAACATTTCATTCGATAAAAGTGAAAACAGCTACGTTTATGTTAAAAATACTCTTAATTTTCTTCTGCATGTCCATTTCATTCTGATACTGAAGTAAGGTTCGTTTACTTAACGCAGTATTTGGATAATTGCATGTATCATATTCATATCCAATT